CCCAGCACACTACAGCCCCAAGAGCCTCCCCTACAGTTGAAACTGCAAGGTCTCACCCTGATGCTATGGATTTGTCTTCTGCCCGCCAGTACACCACATCCCGTCGAGACCGTGGGGAATGCTTCCATTGTGGCTCAAAGGATCACTTAGTCCGAAGCTGCCCGCTCCCTGATAGCCATCCTGTGGGAGTCCGCCCAGCCTATCTGTCACCCCGTTCTCAGTCCCCTGCCAGTCTGGAGCCTACATCTGCACTACAACAATACCGTTCTCCATCCCCGGACCTGTCAGCAAAAGGAATGAGTCTGGCCTAAGTCACAACCAGACGCTGAATGAGCGCACTATCTGTATCTCCGCTGCCGCTACCAAAGGATTAACTATCGAAGAAGAAACATGCCGTTCAAACCTGATGATTCTGCCTATAACCCTGGCCCAAAATGAGAAAGAACTGCTGAGCTATGCCATGATTGACACTGGCACTGAAGGAAAGAGATTTATTGACAAGGAATGGGCCCAAGACCAAGGCCTTGAGTTATTACCACTGAGAAAACCAATCCGCCTAGAAACTTTTGACGGTCAAGAAGCTGGGAGTGGGCCAATCACCCATTATGTCCAGATGCATATGAGAATTAATGATCACCAAGAGAAAAGAGCTTGTTTTCTGGTCACACAGCTAGTGCACTACCCTGTTGTGCTAGGACTCCCCTGGTTAAAGATCCATGATCCCCGAATCGGCTTCGCCGAGCATACCGTCCTGTTTGATAGCAAGTACTGCCAGGAAAACTGCAATGTACCCATGAGGCCCGCAAAAATACGAGCCTTACATGATATCCCGCAAAAGACCCGCCCAAAGCACCTGCCTGCCCGACCTGAAGGTTTGAGACACCAAGACATTGCTGCTATATCCATGTCTGCCTGCTGCGCCTATGCATGAAAGAGTTACTGCCTGTTTACCCTCACTGTCAAGGATATTGAAGCTGCCCTGAACCCCATGTCTGATGAAGAAGATCCAATGACAAAATTGCCACCTGAATTCCAAGACTTTACTGATGTGTTCTCACCTAAGGAGGCTGAGCGCCTGCCACCCCATCGCCCATATGACCATGACATCAAGCTGCAAGATGGGAAAGTGCCCCCATTTGGGCCCCTGTACCCGATGTCCCGAGAGGAACTGAAGGCCCTGAAGGAATGGATTGAGGAAAACCTGAGGAAAGGCTTTATTCATCCCAGCTCATCACCTGCTGCATCTCCTGTTCTGTTTGTCAAGAAACCTGGAGGAGGTCTC